TTAAAGGGTTAATTCACCCCCAAAAAGGGAAATTGTCATCATTTACTCACCCTAATGTCATTTCAAACCTGTATGACTTTCTTTTTCTGTAGAACATAAAATAAATTTTGAGAACTGTTTTTATGTCCATACAATGGAAGTCAATGGTCATCAAAACTGGTTACCAGCATTTTTAAGTATATCTTCTTTTATGTTCCGCAGAAGCAAGAAAGTCCTACAGGTTTGGAACAACATGAGGGGTGAGAAATGATGACAAAAAGTTCATTTTTGAATGAGCTATCCTTTTTATATGCAACCTATTTAGGCCTCTTTTTAAGATTTAGAACAGGATTTAGTCTGTATCTGTACTGTGATCATATCTGTTACCATCATGTTCTGTTCTAACATCTCTCTCTAAACCATGTGAGTAAATTGAGCTGGATGTGGTGTAAGGGTTAGTGTATCCTGCTGTCCACAACTATCTGCTTCATCACGCAAGCAAGAGCTCAGAGCAAAGACAGCGACGTGGTCAACAGTCTGTGACCTTCCTTTGCTCAGAGGCTTTGCAGAAAAGTGGGATAATGAGCGTGTTGTTTTTATACTGTAGATCAGTAGTCCAGGTCTTAATTGCACTGCAAACATTCTTTGTTCTTGTATGCTATCCTGATTGCCCACAATCAGCAAACAGTGAAATGAGCTTAGGGAGCCAATGAGGCTCACACTGCTTGCATTATTACTCAACATGATGTTTGCAGCTTTAATCAGCAGAAAAAAACTCCATCAGTGGTGTTTCAGTTCCTGGTCTTGTTTTAGGAGTAGGGGTGGGGAATATGACCTAAATATCATGTTACAATGAAAACTGTATATATTCATCACTTGAAATGTAGCCAGAAAATATTTTATGCATTACATAACCATGCAGTAATGCCTTTTTTTATAGTTCTTCTTTGATTATTTTCTATTTATTACTTTTTTAATTTGTAATTTAAAGCAACTGTATGTTGTTTAGCAACAGTATGTGAATTTTTTGCGACTTTAGAGCCGCCTACAGTTAAGTGAGTGGAACTGACTGTTGTAAATATATCAAATTACAGTATATATCTGATTTTCATACATGCTCCCCAAACTTGCTTTCAAAAAAGACGTTTGAGGGAAGAGAGGGCAAGAAACTGAAGCCATTCGCCTTATTAAAAGTCAGTGTAACATCAGAATGATTTTGAAACTGATATTTCAAGGAAAAAATCAAATAAAATCAAATAAATAATTTTAAAAATTGCAATGATTTTCCAAAACAAATTATATGTCTGACATGTGTGGAAACAATTGCTTCTGTGACATGAGACTTGAGTTATAAACAAAAGACTTAAAACAGAAGCACTTGATTTCTGTATTAAAGCTCTAAGTAACAATGTGTCAAAATTAAGTCACATTTATTATAATCAATGAAGCTGTCTGCTGTCTTTTTGAAAGATATTAATAGGAACATTTTAATTCAGATAGAGCCCATTTAGTTAACAGTGACATTAAAAAATGGCGTTTAAAAATGTGAAAAACTTTCTTCCATCAAACAATTCTGGGAAAAAATTTGATGGATGAAGTTTTAACATTATTATTAGTAGTATTAGTATTAGTAATGTTTCATGAGCAGCATATTAATATGATTCCTGAAAGATCATGTGACACTGAAGATGGAGTACTGATGTTTAAAAATTCAGCTTTGCATCACAGGAATAAATTACAATTTAATATATATATATATATATATATATATATATATATTAAATTGTAATTTATTCCTGTGATG